CTTAGTAAGTTAGAAAAATGTGGGTTAGACAACTTCATCACCAGATAAATTTGTAACTGGCTGACCAACCTTATTCAATGGGGAGTCCTCAACGGAACCACATCTATATGGGGGGCTGCAGTTGGGACACCCCAAGTTTCTATCTTAGGCCCAGGTGTTGTGATTACAATGATGGCTCCATTGATTTGGTGCCCGACACACCCCTTCCTGTGGGCCGTTTGTACTCCATGTCAGATCCGGAGTTGGCCGTGTTGTGGGGCTTTTTGGACAAAAACCTCACTTTATTCGGGGTTTATTCGGCCCTCGTCGTCGCCTTTGTCCGCCCCGGTCCTGTTCGTTAAGAAGACAGGCAACTTGCGCTTGTGCTGTGACTGCCATCGGTTGGATGCCATCAGGGCGCACAATCGGCACCCTCCGCCTTTGATTCTGGGACTGATGGGGTGGCTCCGGGAGGCTACCGTGTTCATGAAGTTGCACCTGCGTGGGGCGTACAATTTGGTGTGGATCTGGCCCAGGGATGAGTGGAAGACAGTGTTCGTGTGGGCATTTTGAATATACGGTCATGCCGCTTGGCTTGACCAATGCTCCCACCGTCTTCCAGCATTTTCTAGGACCTTCTTCGTCCATTTTTGGTGGTTTACCTCAATGACATTTTGATTTGTTCCAAATTGAGGGACAGCCACTTGCACCACTTGCGCCTAGTTTTGCAACGGCTCCGGGAGAACCGCTTGTGCGCCAAGTTTGAGACATGCCAGTTCTTCCAGTCCACCATCGAGTTCCTGGGACACGGCATCTCTCTGGAAGGCATTTCCAGGGAGCCGAGTAAGGTCGAGTCATTGCTTAGTTGGCAACCTCCCTGGCGAGTGAAGGATGTCCAGAGACTCCTCAGACCTTCATCCCCGGCTTCACTTCCCTGACCGGGCCTCTCACTCGGCTCCTCCAGGAAAAGGTCCCATTCCATTGGGGTGTTCCTGAGCAGCCGGCGTTCCAGGATTTGGAGCGAGCCTTCATGACAGAGCCGATCCTGAGCCACACCATCCATTCGTGGTGGAAGCGGGTCTGTCTGGTGTGGCGGGCGGTGTGGCGCTCCTCCAGGCTCACATCTCTGGTGGTAACCTTTTCCCTCGCGCTTATTTTTCCAGGAAGCTCAATCCTGCTGAGCATAGCGATATACCATCTGGGAGAAGGAGCTACTGGCCATTAAGATGGCGCTTGAGGCCTGGAGGCACCATTTGGAGTGGGCGTGTCATCAAGTAGAAGTCCGGACAGACCATAAAAATTCGGAGCATTTAAAGACTGCCCAGAAATTAAATCAGCGCCAGATCCACTGGTCCCTTTTCTTTGCCCACTTTAATTTCCGCGTCACCTATATTCCAAGCGGTTGCAACCAATGGGCAGAGGCGCTCTCCCGGAAGCCCGAGTACTTGCGCCCAGAGGACCTACTTCCACTCCAGACGGTGCTGCCTGTAGAGTCCTCCTCCGCTGTGCAGGAGCCAGGGGACTTACGGGCGCAGATACAGGAGGCACAGTGGCACGATCCTTAGGCGGATCAGTAGGGAAAGCAAGGTTTAACACACAGGCAGGAAGACCCAAATGTGCAGGTATAGAATAGGTGGTACCTGGCTCAGTAGTAGTCGTTGTGGGAGGGGTCCTGGAGTCCTGCTGCGCAATCACTTAAATATGAGCCAGCCGTGTGTGGCAGCAGCTGAAAAAACCCCAATGCATTAACCGAGGGACAGAATCAGGATTGCGTGAAGCATCAGGATCCTTGTAAAACCGCACTTATTGCATCCAGTTTTGGTCACCTGGATATAAGGAAGATGTTGAGACTCCCACCCCCGCTTGGAAGTGGCCAAGACCCCAGCAACCCTCCGCCTGCCACCAGCTCTTTCCTGGAGGGGGGCTGCTTCTGGGACAGGCCAACCAAGAGGGACGCCAGGAGAGCTGATGTGAGGCCAACCTCCTCCCTGCATTTGGTGCCACCCTCAACCCAACTGGCAGAGAGACCTGCTTCCTTCCCTGGGTGGGTGCAGATCTTCTCTCTTGACCCTCCTCCTCCCCCCTTTTCTCATCCCTGCCCCCCATCTATTCAACTGAGGGTCAGAGCCTCCCCATCTCGGTGCAGAGAGCGTCACTCTGCTGCCCACTAAACAACTCCCCACCCCCCCCAACTGACTTGTTTGCGGCTCCACCCGGGAACGAGATCCACAGCTTTGTGCCTGGAAAGGATCCTGGCCTACACACACACACACACACACACACACACACACACAGATCCCTGGAGAACAGAACCGGGGGAATTCCCCTCCCCCCATCCTAGCCCCAGGGGCCGAGTCCACGGAGGCAGCTCCACGGTGGGGCCCTTTGCCCAAAGCAGACCATTGTAGGATGGTGCGGAGGGCCTCCTGACCCAGAAGGGGGCCCCCCTGATGATGCGCGTGTTGGAGCCGTGCAAAGACCTTCTTGGCCACAGCTGCCCCCAGCCAGCCCCAGATCACAGCCCAGCTGGACTCCAGCGCCAAGCCTGGCTCACAGCCCACTCAGCTTCCCCCCCCCCCCCCCCCGGGCCCCCCCCCGCCCCCCCCCCGGCCCCCCCCCCCCCCCGCCCCCCCCCCCCCCCGTGAGGAACCTCTTGGGCCCCCCTGCTTGCACGGAGCAGCGTGGGACACCTCTGCCCCCAGGTGGTCAGAAGCGGATCCTTTGGGCGAGGCTCCCTCGGAGCCATAGGAGCCTCCAGGGCTGGGGGGCAGGAAGAGACCGGATCAGGTCAGCCCAGCTAAGGCCGAAGACGGGAAGGAACACGGAGAACCTCTGCAAGGAAACCCCTCCACCAGCGACCCCCCCCCGGGGCCCTCTTCACCTGCCCCCCCCCCCCCCCGGGGCCCTCTTCAAGGAGGAAAGGAGGCCTCCTCTGCAAATGCCCCCCCTCCCCCCATGGGCTGGATCCTCTGCCAACACATCACACAGCAGCAGCGCAATGCCGGAAGAGGCCCCGGAGCTGGGACGAGGCTTAGGCCAGCGAAGGCAGGGGGGCAAAAGGCCAGGACCGGGGGTGGGGGTGGGGTGGGGGGCTCTTTTCCCGGGGAGGGAAGGAAGGAAGCTGCAAACGCCGGCCGGGTGGTGATGCCAAGGGCTCATCCCAGCCAGGCCAGGTGCTGCTGAGGCCCCCCAAAGCCGGGCAGGGCTGATCCACAGCTCCCTCTGGGTCTGGGAGCAGCAGAGGAGTTGGGGAGCAGCCGAGGGGGACACTGGGCTGCGCTTCTCCCTGCCCCTCCGCCCGCGTTTGGCCGCCTCCTGCCCAGGCGAGAAGCTGGTGAGGCTCTGGACGGCATGATGCCCAGAGGAAGGAGGCCTCCGGCTCCCCAAGGGTGGCTCAGTTTGCGCACAACGGATACAAAAGTCACAAAGGGGGTCAACAAAGGGGGTTTATTTCAGCCCACAAAGGCTGGCTAGTTCAGCACAGTGGAGGTTAACGTAGTAAGTGTAACAAAACAACCCAACGATCCTATCCCAGAGCAGGAATGCAATAAATAACAAGCAGAACGCACATACACACAGACACACACACACACACAAGGCGGCCTCCTCCCCGCCAGCCTCGAGGGCCTCGGGATGCCAGCAGCCAGGCTGATGCCACCACTGGGGAGGGAGTTGCCCGCTTGCCCCCAGCCAGCCAGGAGCGGCCATTTTGGGTCCCAGCTGCAGCCGGGGGGGGGCGGGGGAGAAGAGGCGCCCCTCCCCTAACTGCATCCCCTCAGCCAAATGACCAGCAGGAGGGTGGCCGGTGGTCCTCCGTTGCCCCTCCCCCCACAGCTTCCGGGGTCTATTAACCTCTGCCTGGGGGGGAAGGAGTGCAGCTCTGCTTTGCCTGAGGCGCAGATGGGGAGGGGGGACCCCTTCTCCCGAGCCCAAGGGGAGGGACCAGGGCTGGGGTGGGGCAGGAGAGGAGGTCCCTGAGCTAGAGCCCCAGCAGCCAGCAGCCAGCAGCAGCCTCTTCGCTGCAGAAGCAGGCCAGGCACCTGCTTGGCCCGGCCTCGATCGAGGGGCTGGACTCACCGCTTGGCAAAAAAACGGGCCAACTTTCTGCCGGCAGAAGCTGCACCCCCGAGGTCGCCAGAGGGGGCCCGCCTGGTCTCGGCTGGCAGTTCTTGTGGGCTCTGCTGCAGATGGGCACAGGGAGCGGAGCCAGCCAGTATTTCAGCCCTGCCACATTCCAAAGACCCCCAAGAGGCCGAGATGCCCCTGGAGATCTTGGCTCCTCAACCACGTTGCTCAGATCTGGCCCAGCGAAGGGGCCTCCCTCGTTCTCACGCTCACGCCCAGGATCAAGCGAGGAGCTTCAAGCGGCAGAAAGCTAAAAAGTGCCCTGAAGTACGTGAGCAGAAAACTGGCCCCCTTGCGGTTCGGTCGAGAGGCGGAACTCTGCCTGGAGGAACCAAGCAAGCCGGGTGCTCAGCCCCTTTCTGGATTCCCAGGGTTGGTCCAAGCCAGGAACGCAAGAAAGTCCCCACCAGGGAGCGGAAGTCTTGGCCACACCAGGGGCCAAATAATACGCTCCTGGCCGGAGGAGAGCCGCTCCCAGGAAATGAACCGGCAGTGCCCGGCCAAGGCAAAGATTTCACCAAGAGAAGAGGGGGGTGGGGTGGGGGGGTCAGGAAACTTGCCTTTACCCTTCAGTTAAAGGGCAGAGCCCACCCCCAATTCACCGCTTGTGCCAGTCCGAGGCCACGGTGGGTCCACCAAGCGCACTGCCAGGTTGCCTTCCGTGTCTTGGGCGCTAGGACCGTCTGAAAAGGACTCCGTCTTCCCAGCTACCCCCCCCCCCCCCCCCCCGCGCAAGGGCCGGGGGCGAGCCCCGCCCCCCGAACCGGGCCCCCCCCGGGGCCCCCCCCCCCCCCCCCCCCCCCCCCCCCCCAGAGGGGGGGAAAGGGCCGGGGAAGCCCCCCCCCCCCAGAACGGGGCCCCTCTGGGGCCCCCCCCCCCCCCGGCTCTCCTCCGGCCGTGCGAGGGAGAGCCCTGGCCCGTTCCGGGACAAGGCGGCCGAGCGGAGGCCCGTCACCACTTGAAGAAAACGAGGCCTGCCAGGGCCGCGTAGCCCAGGACCAGGAAGAGGACTTTGAGCAGGCGGTCGCTCTGGTCCTCCAGCTCCTTGGCCAGGATCTCAAAGAAGGTGACGAAGAGGAAGGTGCCCCCGGCGACTCCTTGCAGGACGACCGAGGCCACGTCACTGGCCACGTTCTGGGCACTCTCAATGCCCATGCCGATGGCGATGCCCAGCGGGATCATCAGGCTGACGGCCGCGGCCAGCTTGGAGGCCTCCTTGACCTTCAGCCCGGTCTTGGCCATGTTGATCCCCAGGGCCACGGCCACCAGAGTCTCGTGGATGGCCACCCCCAGGAAGAGGCTTATGACTCTGTCGCCCTCCTCCTGCAGGCCCAGGGCCAGGCCTTCAAAAATGGAGTGGGCGGACAAGGCAAAGACCAGGCTGAAGAGCCGCAGCGGGCTGGAGCGGGAGAGCTCGCAGATGGCCAGCCCGTGGCTGTGGCGGCCACGGTCGGCCCGGTGGCCGTGACCCCAGGAAGGCTCGATGAAGGGGCTCTCGTACTCGGAGTCGCTGCCCACGTCTGAGCCAGCATTGAAGGTCTCCAGGTCAATGAAGGACGGCTTCTCCTTCCGGAAGGTCAAGACCAGCTGCTCCACGAAGACGGTCACGAAGAATCCCAGCATCATGAGGGTCTCTGCCAGAGGATAATCGGTGGTCACGTTGCCCAGTTTCAAAACCTCCTGGAGCTGCAAGACAGAAGGCGACCGTCCAAATTCTGCTCACCTGCTGAGGCCTCCGCAGGCCTCTTACTGGGGGAAGGCGGGCTGCATTCCGCACTGCTTCCGGCCCCTCCCTCTCCAGTTTTGGGCTCTGCAGAAAATCCTCAGGAAAGCCAAGGCAGTTGAGTTTAAATACACAGAGTTGGAAGGGACGGGTGGCAGAAGCAGAGAAGACAGGCGTGATCACTCACCAAGGCCCCCTGAATTTCTCAAGGGGGCCCCTTTTCTACAAGGCTGAAGAAGGGGTCTGTGCTCCTGGGTCTGATCTTAACCTGCAGGGACGTCCTGGTTGAATGAGGGCGCTGGGGGGGGCGGCTGGGGGGTTGCAGCCCCCCAAGCCAAACAGAGGGCAGCAGGCACAACGGAGGGGAGAAGCGGAGCAGGGATTGGGGGGCTCCAGGTGGAAAAGCGACTCGGCCGTGGCTGCAGGGCGCTCCAAGACCCCCCCCCCACCCCGGGCCCCATGACCGTCTCACGACGGGAGGACCAGCCGGGGAAGAAGCGACGGGGGCATCAGGACCCCAGGCCGGAGGAGAAATTGCTAGGCGTGCACACTGCCGGCCTCCAGAAGCGCCCATTTCAACCAGCGGAGGGGCGGCTTCCCGCAGCCAGGCGCCCTTCGGAGGGAAGTTTCCCAAGGCAGAGGCTCGGAAGGCCAATGGCTGCAGCGCGGAGAGCGAGCGAGGAAGGGGCGGCGGGGGCCTGGAGGGGGGGCGGGGGGGGGGGGGGTCTAACGGGGGAGCCCCGGGCCCGGGGGGGGGGGGGGGGGGGGCCGGCCCGGGGGGGGGGGGGGGGGAGGTAATGGTCCAGGACGATCCCGACCAGCTGCACCAAACGGACCAAGCCCGGCGGTCAAGGGCAGAAAAGCCGGGGCCTCCCCCGAAGGCCTCGCCGTACGTTTCCTCCTCCTCCCCCCCCCGCCCCCCGCCCATCGAGGCCGCACCGCAGCCGGGCCCAGTTTAGGAAGGGCGGGGGCAGCCGAGAGCCCCCACCGACCTCCGGGGGCCCCGAGGAAACGCCGGACGGGGGGGGGGGGGGGCGAGCCCCGTTCCCGGTACCTTCTCGCGCACGGCGGGGAGCAGCGCGTTGAAGCAGGTGGCCAGGAAGACGCCGCCGCCGAGCGCGTTGCAGAGGCCGAGGGCCCGCCGGGACCGCTGCGCCCGCTCGGGGTCCGCCTCCAGCACCTTCACCGGCAGCAGGGCGCCCGCCAGCATCAGCGCCAGCGTGCCCACCAGGCACAGCACCTTCGCCGCCACCACCTCCATGCCCGCCGGCCGAGGGAGCCCCGAGGAGCCGCCGCCGCCGCCTCCTCCTCCTCCTCCTCCCCGGCCTTCCGGCGGCGCTCCGCTCGGGGGCGACTCCTCGCCGCTTCGGCCGGTGACGTCACGGCGCCGGTCGAGGGAGGGGCGCCCTCGGTGCGCGCGAGAAAGGCGGCCGGGCGGATCGCGCCTCCCGCCAAGAGGTTCCGGGGCGCCACGAATCCCTCTCGGGAGCGGGGACGTCCTGGAGCCCGGTGGCTTCCGCCGCCAACGGAGGGGCCACTCGAGGGCCCCACCGGGCTCCCCTCAGGAAACGCTCCCCAACCCCCAGAAACCCCGGTTGGAGGCCATCTTTTCGCAGCCGAGGCCGAAGATGCGTGACACCCCCACCCCGCAGAAGCGCTCCATCCCCCTGGCTGAGATTGAAGGGCTACACACACCCCCAAACCCCCACTTCGCAGCCCCCAGGCAGCGCCCCCCCCCCCCTCAAAGGCTTCCCTGCCCCCTCCCTTCCCCTACCCAGACCAGGAAAGCCCCCCCCCCACTTCCCTCCTGAAGTCACTTTTGGGGGGGGCCATGACACCCACTTCCCTTTGCCCTCCAGGTACCAGCCAACAGTGTCCAAAGAACTTTATTTCCTACATCAAAGAAAAGCCATTGCTGGAGACAGACGGTGAATCTTCAGCCCCCTCCCCTCACTTACTGGAAGCACCCTGGGGATCACCCCACCCCACCCCACCCCACCCCCTTACCTTTCTAGCCTGGCAGCTTCTCCCTCCCCACGTGCCGGACCCACAAATGGGGCCATGGGTAGGACTCCACCCCACCCTCTTCCTACTTCTGCATCTGCCCCTGGTATCACAAGATGGCTGCATCCCCTGCATCCCCGACGAGGGCCAGGTGAGAAACCAGACACACAACAAGGCTCTGCCCGTGGCAGCCAGCGGGGCAGGTGCACCCGGGCTGGCCAGGAGGGCATCAGAAGGCTCCTGGGCCTGCTGCTCCTCTCCAGAGCCCCTGGCTGGCCAGCAAAGAGGCCCGGCTGATGCAGGGCAGGCCGGTCTCTACGGGGCTCCTGGCAGGTGGCACTGAGGACGGGCAAGGCCCTTGATCTGCCATCCGTCCCATTCTGCTGGCTGGAGGGGACCTGGGAAATTCAAATGAGAGCAGCCACAATCGCCCTCCAGGAGGCACCTCCGCTGGTGAGAGTGACACTCTGGACACCCGATGCTGAGGGGAGCCCTGGCCACAAGGAGAGAGCACTTCGGGAAAGAATTGCTCGGCTTGGCCCAATCCTGGGCAAGCAGCCGGGTCCTCCTGGCACCCTTCATGCTGGGCAGGAAATGGCCGGTTAGCCAGTCCACCCAGGCAAGTTCCCCAGGCCCCGACCCAAAGAAACACATTTTCAAAAGAAACCCCCCAACCCCCCACCCACTCACAGAAAAGTCACACCAAACTAGCCACGGCCCTTTTTGAAAGTAAACGTCCTACTGGAAAGCGCAGGAGAGGCCGCCCACCTTCCCTGGGCACCGATGCCAGTCCCTCCGGCTCCCCTCCCAGCCAGTCAACTGGGCCTCTCCCCAAGAGGGGCCGTCCAGCCTTGGTGTGCCAGGATCCAGCAATGGTGACCAGGAGGAGGAAATAATCCCGGCTTGGGAAAGGCGACGCTCCCTGCTGGAGGAGGACCCGGTCTCCGGAGGGGCCGTTCTTCCGAGCAACGGGGCAGGCGTGGCGTTGACAGCCCCACAGCTTGCCTCCGAGGTGCCCAGAGTGGGGGAGGGGGTGGGGGGTAGATGCTGATCTGCAGACGGTAACGCTCTCCGCTCCCCCGACCAAGTCCCCTCGGGGGGGAGGGGGGGGGGGGGGGGGGGGGGGGGGCTACCAAAAGTCTCTAACATGCAGGCCGGATCAGGCTTGGCTCCCCCCACCCCCAATCCCTCGTGGGCTTTTCCGAAAGAAGAACGGCTAGTAGTAGCAGCAGCAGCAGCAGCAGCAGCAGCAGCAGCAGCAGCAGCAGCAGCAGCAGCGGCAGCAGCTGGAAGGCTCTTCAGCTGGTCCTTCCCTTGGGGCGAAAGGGGTCTTCCTGACCAGGAGCAGAGTCCTGAAAGACGGAGACGAACGTAAGCACACCTTGGCCAGGAGTGGGGGGCTCCCGGGGCCTCCGGCAGCTCACCTAAGCCCTCCCCCCACCTGGGCATCCATTCAGCAGGCAGCCCAGCACACAGGCAGAAGGAGTTCTGCAAACGGGTCCAGGAGGCTAAGGAGCTTCTGATCAGGAGGGCACCCCCCCCCCGGCGCCCTCCCTGCCAGTGTCTCCCCTCCGTGTCTCAGGCCTCCTTCCTTGGCTCTTTTCCTCCCCAGGGACCGTCTCCAACTTCATGGGGCGGGTTGGGGGCTCCCCTCAGAAGATGCCTCCCTCACACAGCGAGGGCCCCATTCCGGTCATTGGTCCTCCCTGGATCCCGGCACCTCCCCGCCCTGCCCCCTTTGGGCCTGCACCCACAAAATAGCCGGGGGGGCGGGGAGTGTAGTTTGAGAATTTCCTTAGAGAAAGAGGGAAAGAGACGCTGCCTAGGGAGAGGTCAGACAAGGAGCCTCCGGGATCTGGCAGCGGTCAGCAGAAACGCAGGGAAAACCCGCCCTCCTAATGGGTCAAGCAGTCAAGAGTGGCAGGGGGACATGTGTGCCTTCAGACATGCAAGGGGGGGTGTGGGGTGTTGTTAACGCAGCCCACAATAGAAGCAGATTCAGGTCTTCTGGTTGTGTTTCCTGTCTGGCTTGCCAGGGACGGCTGACCTGGATCCAGCAAGGGCCAAACCTCCCACGGGGCCTTTTAGCCACCCGACCGATTTCTTCCTCCTCCTCCTCCTCCTCCGCTAAGCCCCGCTGTCCCCAGGGCCACTCGCACAGATGCCCGGCCCTCCCCCGGCTCCTTACCAGCAGCTGCCTCATTCCTGCTGCTCCTCGTTGCTGGCACTGGGGGTCCGGCTCCGGATCTGGCTACGCAGCTGCTCTATGAGCTCCGGATTTTGCTGCTGCATCTGCTGAGCAAACTGTTGGCCTCTGGACACCGCAGGAGAGAAAACACCCGTGTTAACCACGGACTGCGGGTGTGATTCCTACAGAACAGCCCAGTAGCCAGCTGGGCACAGAGCCGGCCCAAAAGCTACTCCGGAAGCCCTTTATAATCGCGCCCGTTCGCGTTGGAGACGAGACTGGGGCGATGGGGCGCTGCGGGGCGGTGGCGGGAGGAGTATCGAACTCCAATCCTTCACAGATCTGCTCAGGACACAAAAACGGACGGACAGCCATAGAAGGTAGGAATGAAATGCAAAGCTACCTTGATGGACAAGGCAAGTCGGGCAAAAAGGAGAGAATGGAGGTTGTCACGGACGGCTTCTTAGGAGACAGATGGATGCACAAGGGGGGGACACACGTTCAGGATTCAAACAAACGGGGTGGGGACAGCTCAGCAAAGCAGTGAGGGGGAGGGACATGGAACAAGAGCCCCACACGGAGGTTCAGCCTTGAGACCAGTAGGGGGGGGGGGGGGATGACAGAAGACCCGCCCTTCCCAGGAAGCTGGACATGGACTGCGATTAGGAGGCGGCGGAGTCCGATGGCCGGGGATCCCCTGAGGACCCTTCCCAGTCGAAGGACAAGGGGGCCCGTGGCGCTCAGGAGGGGGCTGGGAGGCTTCAGAGGGACCCTCCCAACTGGCCGGGCAGGAAGGGCTCTGCTGTGCCAGGGCCTCTTTTAGGGCACCCCCTTGGGGGAGGGCGGAGGGGTCCTTTGGAAAGGCTGACCCGGCAGGCCAGAAGGAGCCCTTCCCCCCGCTCTCCCCCCCCCCCCAAGCCAAGAGCCTTGGGTGCTTCTGGCCTTGGGCAGCTATAAGGAATCCAGACAGACACCAAAGGGCGAGAGAGGCTGGCGGCTTCCCAGGACTCTCCCATGTCGGATGCCGGAAGCGGCAACGTCTTCGCTCTCACGAGGCCGTTTGGGAGACTGCCCTGAAACGCGGCTTTTTCAGGCTGCGTCTTTCTAGCCAGCGGTTGAGTGCCACAGTGCCACAAGTCAAGGGGGACCCTCTTTGCCTCCCCAGCCCACCCCCCAGCAACAGCTACAGGAGGGGCTTGGGGGGAAGCCCCCCACAGGGCTCGGTGGGGACGAGGAGAAGGATGCCAGAGGACCAGAGAAGGGGGCCAAGCCGGCTGCTGCTCTCCTGGTCTGAAGGCACGAAGAAGCGGGGGGCCCCCTACTCACGCTTGGATGAGGCTGGCGAGATCGTGGGGGGCGGGGCTGGCTCCCGGGGCGGCCATGGGGCTCTGGCTGCTGGAGATCATCCCAGACATCCTGCAAAAGGGAGCGGGAGATCCGTGACCCTGCGCCACGGGCCGGTCAAACAATCCCTCTGCCGAGGGGGAAATCCTTTCCCGACGCACAGGGAAGCCGCTGGAAAGGCTACTGGGGGTTGGGGGGGGAGGAGCCAGTTTTTCCCCAGGAACCCCCCACCTCCCAACCAGAAACCCCAATTTGGATCGCTCCAATCAATGTCACCCAGGAAAGGTTCCCTCTCCCACCCCACGGATAGCAGGGGCGGAGTCCACGTCCCCCCCCCCCGCATGGCTGCAGTGACTGGCTTCTGGCTGCTCCATTTTGGGGGTGGTCCCACAGCACCCCTTCAGTAAGCAGCCATTTTAACGGTAACTCGATTTTGGCTGGCCTGCCAGGAAACCAGGATTGGCAACGGGGTGGGCAGGACACACTAAACCAAGCTCTGATTCCTGGCTTTGAGCTGCCTTCTGACGAGGGCAACGAAGCCTTTTTAAAGAAACCTTCCTTTAGAGAAAGCCTTCCCTTCAACGGCGGGTATCAGCCGGGATCCTTCCCCCCGCCAGCTCCCAGACTTTGGGGCTGACGGTTCAACCGCAGTCCTTGAACCGCCCCTCCCCCCGAACGGATCCTTCCAGAAGGACCGGGAGGCGGACAAGCCCTGTGCCACTCACAGTTGCTGCACCTGAGGGTTGTTCATCAGGTTGGAGGCCTGTCGAGGGAGAGAAGGGGGGGAGATGGCTGAGCAGCCCAGAAGCCTCGCTGGCCTTTCCGGACTGCCCCACAATCCTCTGCCGAGGCCAAACCCCGGAGCTTTATCTTGGAGTCCACGGGCAGCTCAGGTGCCAAAGGGCCGCGGAAGGACTGGTTGGCTGATGCCCGTGGCCCCCAAACTGTGCCCCACACCGAGGACCGCCCCGTCTCTTTGGACGCACGCAGGCAGCTTCCCTGGCCTTCGGTCTCCGCCGGGCTCTCCAGCTGGCGCACCCGCCTCAGCCAGCTGTCCATCCAGAGACCAGCCCAGGCACGCAACAGCCCCCCCCCGGCTCCCCCACTCACCATGCTCATGAAGCCAGGGTTGTTCAGCAACCCAGCCAGGTCAATCCCTCCGGCGCTGCCCGTCTGTGGAAAAACGGACAGGAGACATCAGGGCGGCCCCCTGCAAGCCCGGAAGAAGAGGCTGCTGGGTGCCCCGGCCTCCTTGGGCCCCCAACTGCCCCAGGGTCTTCGCCTGGTCGGCCGGCCACTCACCGGGCTCGGAGCCTCCTTCATCTTCTGCTCGGTCACTTTCAAGTTGGACTTGTAGGTTTCGTTGTCTGGGTCCAGCTCCAGGGCCTTCCGGTAGTAATAGACGGCCTCCGAGAGCTTGTTGAGGCTGGACAGGGCCAACCTGCGGAGGGAAAGGGGGGGTGAGGAAGGAGGCACCCCCCCCACCCCCGCTCTGGCTCTCCTGCTGGCAAGAGCTCACCAAGCTCCCAGAGGGGAGGGGCCATGGGGCACTCCCAAATTTTGCACTGCTGCCTTTGCACAGGGATCCGTGCCGCTGCATGGAAAGACCCACCGAGACCCCAGCGATGCCCCTTCCCGGAAGCCAGAAACGCTTTGCGGGGGGGGGGGGGGCGGGGTAGGAAGGGCGCCCCACGGGCCCGGGTGGGGGGGGGGGGGCCGCCGTGGGGGGGGGGGGGGGGCGGGGGGGGGGGGTTTTTCTCCCCCCGGTCCGGAGGCCCCGGTCCCCCCCCCCCCCCCCCCCCGGATCGACAGCCCTTCCCCTGCCAGGCCCGAGGGCAGCGCTGGGACCCACGTACCCCATCCTGCCGTAGGCTTTGCTGTACTTGGGGTCGATGCTGATGGCTCTCTCGCAGTCTCTGACGGCCCCGGCGTAGTTTCCTAGTTTACTGTAAGCGGCGGCCCTGAGGGGGGAGGGAGCTCCTTAGGGCAGCCCCAGGGCCTCGGCCGCCTCAGCACCCACACGGAAGGGGGGCTGGGCACACACACACCCCCCCCCCCCCCCCCCCCCCCTATTTGAGGCAGCCGTTCCCATCCAGCCGCTGGAGCTGGACGACTGAGGCCGAATCCCCCTCTCACCGGTTGCAGTAATACACGGCATTGGACGGGTTCAGTTCAATGGCTTTTCCGTAGAACGAGACGGCACTCTTAAAATTCTCCACTTTCATCTGTTCGTTCCCTAGTGAGAAGAAACAAGGGATGAGCTGCCTTATTGGGCCAGAGGGCGATCCTGCCCCCCCCCCCAGCCCTTTCAGCATCGCCTGGCGGTCACTCTGGGGATCCCTTGCCCGGGTCCCGCCTGGAAGGCCTCCCCGCTTCACCTCCCACGGGTGCCAGGACTGCCAGCCAGTCGGCTTCCTTTCTCCAAAGGCCCCTTTCCATTTGCGACCTTGCTTGCCCTGGGGCTGGGCAGTTGTGGGGGGGGAGCAGGAAAGCCCCCCCCCCCATCTCTGAGGGGGCAGAGGGCGCTAGTAAGATGCTCGGCCCCCATCAGGGATTGTGGCTCCTCTTCTGCTACAGTCAACTGGAGGCCCGTGGAGGCTGCCCCTCCCCCGCAGGATTGGATGGGAGGCTGGCTGGGGCAGAAAACAGTCTGCGGTCCTGGGAGGGAGTGGGGGAGGGGGCTGCACTCCAGAGGGCAAAGAGAAGCTTAAGGCCCAGGAGGAAGGGACCCAAGAAGCCAGCGCCCCCCCCCCACCAAGTCTTTGATGATGCAAGAGTTTGGCAAGGTTTCTGCCTTCAGGGCAGGACCAATCAAGGGAACAGCTCGGCCTGTCTTTCCTGTTCTTGCCTATCGCATCCCCCCAGGATCCCCCACCTGATGCTCCCTGTCCAGGTGTTGGGGGAGGCTCCCCAGAGGGAGGGCCCTGCTGCCTGCGCAACCCTCCTGAGTGCCAAGGGCACAAACGCAGGAGCACAAATGCCCCCCACCCCCACCCCCAAAAGGCTCACCTTCAGTCTTCAGTCTTTCCGCTTCGGCCGCATCTTCTTCAGAAGGAGGAGCAGGCTCAGCAACGGGGCAGCTCTGCAACGGCTCCTGCTGGGCAGAAGGCACCCGGGGTTGGGGGGGGGAGGGGGTGCCAGGGACCCTCTGGCCAGCAGGGGGCTTGCAGTGTCAAAGCGGCTGCCCTACAATCTCTGGCCAGAAGGACCTGCGAGGGCCTCCCCTGGGAGTCACCTCTGCTGCTACTTCCTCTCCAAAGGTCCAATGGCAACGCTGGCTGGGCATTATGGGAACTGCTGCCTAACGCCCGGGGGGGGGCACCGGGTTAGGAAAGGGTGGGCCTAGCCCAGCAGCTGATGGCTGCCCAGCCCCGCCAGGGGTCCCACTTCCTGCTCAGGGTGACGGGAGCTGAGCGTCTCGGCTGCCTTTCGAGAAATGGCCCTGGAGGGCAATGCAAAGGGCAACCCGGCCCATCTCCAGCCAGAGATCTTGGAAGGCCGAGATCAGGAGGGTCCCCACGGAAGGCAGACACGCCCAGTGATCACAGGTCTCCGGTCAAGAGGGCTGCCTGTGCTCTCCCAGGCCTGAAGAGGTTTGGCCTTTCTCAGACCCCATTTGACCGCAGCAGGTTCTGCAAAAGGGCCGCCGGTCAACTTCCACCGGCCACAAGTGTCAAAAGTTGGGGGCCGACACCTGAGGCTCTGGCCAGGCCAGGAGTGGATGTCACACATCTGGCCGGTTTCTTAGAACAGAGCCAGCAGGTAAAACTACAAAGACCCCAAACTTGGAAGTAAAAGCTGGGTGCGTTTCCTCCTGCTCACAGACCTGACCTGGGAAGGCTCCCTCCCCCCCCCTCCACCCCCAGCTGATCCCTTATTTGCACCCAGAAAAGACCGATGAAGACCCTCCCCTGGGGTGGTGCTGGTGGCTATTTTAATACTCCTTTTTGGTTCCCCCCCCTTCAGCCCTGCCGATGCCTTTCCATGAAGCCCCCTCCCCACAAGGACTTTGCCCTCCCCCAGGCACCCCACTTCTGTCTCCCTCCCCCCTCCAATCCCCCCCCTTTCTCTCTGCTCAGCCCAGGGCAGAGAGCGCCCCCCCCGCCCCACCCCCGCCGACGGAAACGCTCACTTTGGCCGCAGCAGCTTCAAAGATGTCCGGGAGCTTCTGGGAGATGGCCAGGCCCCTGTCGTCCCCGGACACCCCGAAGGCCGTCTCCAAGCACTGGATGGCCACTGCGGAGGGAAGAGGCCCCGTCAGGCCCGGCGGAGCTGCCTTCCGGCTCCCCGGGGGAGAAGGGAGCCCCCTCGGAAGACGCGGCAGGCAGGCAGGCAGGCCGGCGGCCGGCCCGGGGGAAGCCGGGAGGGAGGAGCGCCCCCCCCCCGCCACCCACCTTCCAGGCTCTCCTGGGCGTCCGGGGAGAGCCCGCCGTGCTGCAGCTGCTCCTGCAGGAACTCGATGATGGCGAAGGCCAGGCGCTTCTGCTCCGCCATGGTGGCCCCGGGGGCCCCGGAGGAGTCGGCGGTGGCGGAGAGCCTTCCTGCGGGAGGGAGGGAGGGGGACACGGCAGCGTCTTTCTTGCTGGGGCCGCGCGGCACGACGCCCGGCGGAGCCACCCGGAAGGGCCCGCCCACACCGCTGCCCCGGAGAGGCACCGCCAAGCCCGGCTCCCTTCTCCGTCCGGCCCGGCGCGGCTCACCCCGGCGGCCGCCCCAGCGCAACAGCGGGCGTGCTCGGCCCTTGTCCGCCCTCCGGCCGACTGCGCAGGCGCGAGCGGGGCAAGTCGGGGCTGGGCGACGCGCCTGCGCGCCGGCCAAAGTTCCGCCAGTCGCCGGCCTCCAGGTCGCCTTCTCCCTTCGTCAGAGCTAGGAAAGGGTAGAGGGGCAGCCGCTGCTGGACGGCGCTCGCTTCCGAGTCCCGCGTGCAGAGAGCGTGATCACGCGCTCGTCCCTCCCAAGTGCGCTTCGCTCGTGGAGGCCGGACCCGCCCCACGCGCGCACGCACGCACGCACGCACGCGGGGAGGGGGCGGGGCTGCCGGTGGCCTGGGCGGCGCCCGCGGGCGTGGAGCCTCTGCTCTCCGAGCGCCGATCCCACGGAACACCCCGCCACTGGGCCGGGGGCGGGGCGGAGGAGAGCTCCACCCTCCGCGGGGGCGGTCGGGTCTCTCCGGCTCCCCGAGAGCGAGCACGCGGCATGGCTCCCCCGACGGGTAACTGCGGGCCGGGGCCCCCGCCCCCCCTCGCTCCCTCCCTCCCCCCCTCCCCCCCCTCCCTCCGTGGGGCGGGGGTCCTTCCCGGGCGGGGCGGGGGGGGGATCTGACGGCGCCCGCTTTGTCCCCCGCCCAGGAAGCGCCCCTGCGAGCCCGACGCCCCGGGGCAGCCGCCTGCGATGGGACCTGGGCGCCGAGCAGATCCGCAGCGCCGCCGCCCAGCTGGTGGCCCGCACCCGGCAGGTGTACGACGCCGTGGGCGCCCTCGAGCGCCGGGAGGTCTCCGAGCAGAACACGCTGCGCGCCCTGGCCGCCGCCGAGCTCGACTACACAGGTGGGCGGCGGGAGGGGGGCGGGGGGCGGGGGGGGGCGCGGACAGGTAAGCCGGGCGGGGCGGATCCCCCGACCCAGCCTGAGCGCAGCCCCACCCCGCAGTGCAGCGGAATATGCTGGATTTCCCGCAACACGTCTCCCCCAGCCGGGAGGTGCGCTCGGCCAGCACCGAGGCCGACAAGCAGCTTTCGGAGTTCGACGTGGAGACCAGCATGCGGCAGGACGTCTACCAGCGCATCACCTGGCTGCAGGTGAGTTGCCCGGCTCTGCAGGTTCTGGGCCCTGCCTGGCCCTCCCTGGCCCCAGGCAGAACCCGGGGGGAGCCCAGTCCTGCCCTGCCCAAGCCGGACGGGGCGGTTCATGTGGCCGCAAGGCTGAGTCAAGAGCCCTTGGAGCCTCCAAGGGCGCCCCTGCTCCGAACCAAGCGCCCCCCTCCCGGCCTCCTCTCTGGGCCTGGGGGCTGCTTCTCTCAGCTGCTTCCTGCTCAGCCTTTCTCCCGCCCAGCGCCATTGTCAGCAGCCACTGCGCCCCAGCCCCCTTGGCCCAGAGATTGGCAACCGCTCGAAGGAGCCCCCCGGGGGGCCCTGGGCGGGGGGGGGCTGCTCTGCCAGAGACCCCTTTCTCTTCCCCAGGAGAAGCTGGACGGGGCTTCCCTGAAGCCAGAGGCCAAGCGCTACTTGGAGAGGCTGGTCAAGCTGGGCCAACGGAGCGGCCTTCACCTGTCCAGGGAGGTGCAGGAGGTGAGGAGGCGGCTCTCTGCAAGCGACTGGGCCAAGAGTCCCTCCCGGGCCAGGACAAGGGGCAGGACGGTCCCTGGCAGGGAGGCTGCCCAGGCGGCCTTTAAGGAAGTCCGGCCGCTTTGGGGCCTTGGAGGGGGAGAGCCGGACCTCTGGGGGGGGGGGCGGGGCTGGGCAGCTCACATCGTTTCCTCCCTTCCTCAGAAAATCAAGGAGATTAAGAAGAAACTGAGCGTTCTCTGCATCGACTTCAGCAAAAATCTCAACGAAGATGCCACTTTCCTGGCTTTTACCAGGGAGGAGCTGGGTGAGGCTGCGGGGGGCGGATGCGGCCGTTGTGGGGAGGGACCACTGGGGTGCCACGTCTTCCCCTCGAGAAGGCTGGGAGCCACATTGCGGCCTCATCAGGGATCCGAATTGGTCAAATGAAGGTTTCTCACAGGCTTAGCGCATCTGTCGGTGAAGCTAACGGTGCGTATTAAACACCTTGTGAACTTCAGCCATCCAGCACTGATGACGTTATCTAGTTTGGTGATGAAACATCTGGAAGAAAAAGAGCCAAGCTGGGAGGGCACCGTGGGCCTCTCGGGTGAATTCTGAGCTGCAAAGAATTTTTTTCTTCCGTCAAAACTTTGATAGACCTCTCCTAATCCTCTCCTTTCCTTCTCTCTTGGGGAGCTTGGACCCGCTTCTCGGGATCTCTTCTTTCTGTCCTCCCCCCCTCCCCCGCCGCTGAGGGTTCTCCCAGCTCAAAGCAGCCAAGGTTGGGCGTCCTCTGTGCCAGGTTGGCCCTGGAAGAGCCCACCGGTGATGTCTTGGGGGCGGGGGGAGGAGGTTGCCTGGCATCTCCTGGCAGCCTTCTTCCCCTCTGCCCGGGAGCCCCTTCTGGGACGCTTAGAGCCATAGAGCTGGGCGGCCCTTCCGGGGCCTCCTCCTCCTCCTCTGTCCGCTCCTTCCCCACTGGGTGCCCTGGAGTGGGCTCCCCCTGACCCGGCTGCAACAGGCCTCTGCCTCTCCCCACGGGACCCAGAGTCAGAGAGGAAAAAAAGATCGCCAGCTGGCCCGTCTCTCCGGTGCCTCCAGTGGGGCAGGCGGGCGCTCTTGGCCTGGCCTGGAGGCTCCGCACGGGGCTCGGCCCACCTAACGGCTCCTTCCCTTCAGGCGGACTCCCCGAGGATTTCCTGAGCTCCCTGGAGAAGGCGGAGGAGGGCGGGGGGAAGCTGAAAGTCACCCTCAAGTACCCCCATTACTTCCCCCTGATGAAGAAGTGCCACGTGCCCGAGACCCGGAAGCGCATGGAGGAACGCTTCAACTCCCGGTGCAAAGAGGTAGGGGAGAGGGGGCGGGAGCCGCACTGGGGGGGGGGCGGGGCAGAGGGCTCCCCCGGGGGCTGAACTTGCTTCCCCCCCGCCCCCCCAACGGCACAGGAGAACTGCCGGATCCTCCAGCAACTGGTAGAGCTGCGGGCCCAGAAGTCGGCGCTCCTGGGCTTCGAGACGCACGCGGCCTTCGTGCTGGAGATGAACATGGCCAAGGAGTGCAAGACGGTGGCCGCCTTCCTGGGTGAGATGAGCGGGCAGCATCTTCCGGCTGCTCAGGGACGGGGGACCCCAGAGCCCCTCCCTCAGAGCAGCCCCAGGAGGCCGGGGGAGGCTGTATTTGGGGGCGGGGGGCTCCCCTCGTGTGCCAGCTCCCCGGGGGGGGGGGGGCAGCCTGGGCACTGGCGAGCAGGCGTTCACCCTGCTCCCCTCCTGGGCTCCCTGCAGACGACCTGGCGGCCAAGCTGAAGCCGCTGGGCGAGAAGGAGCGAGCGGTTATCCTGGGCCTGAAGCAGAGGGAGTGCGAGCAGCGGGCGCTGCCCTTCGACGGGCGCATCAACGCCTGGGACATGCGCTACTACATGAACCAGGTAGAAGAGACCCAGTACAGCGTGGACCAGAACCTGCTGAAGGAGTTCTTCCCCATGCAAGTGGTGACGGACGGCCTGCTGGGCATCTACCAGGAGCTGCTGGGGCTGACCTTCCGCCGGGAGGAGGATGCCCAGGCCTGGCACGAGGACGTCCAGCTCTATACGGTGCAGGACCCGGCCTCCGGAGAGACCCTCGGCCAGTTCTACCTGGACCTTTACCCGCGGTGAGCCTGGGGGCGGGGCGGGCAGTGGGGCCTCCGTTGCCCCTGTGGCCGAGTCCGTCCTCCTCCGGGTCTCCTTCGCCCACGGCGTCCGCAGGAGGAGGAGGAGGAGGAGGGTCCTGGGTGCCTCCAGGGGGAGCCCCGGGTTGGTCCTTCTTCAAGGATCCTTTGGTCTCCTTGGCCGTCCCTGGGATTCTGGGGGCCTCGTTGCCCAGCCCCCCCCCCGTGTCCAGAGCCCCCCTCCCTCCCCCAAGTCCCGCCTTCACCTGCACGGAGGGCGGGGGGGGACCCCACGGCTCCCCCCAGTTCCAGTCTTTGCAGGGTGGGAGGCGTCTCCAAGGCCTCCGCGGCTGTTTCGTCCTCCGGTTCCTCCGCTTCCGTTCGTCCATCCGGGTGACCCCCAAGAGGCAGGAACTCTGCTCCCTTTGGGTCGCTTCCCTCTGAATCCCCCCCCGGAGGGGGGGCTGCCTGTTCCGCTCTCCGCTCGGGGGCCTCCCTTCGGGCAGAGCCGGGGCCTTTCCAGCTACGGGAGCCCCGAGAGCCCCCGGCAGGTTGCAGGGGCTCCTTCCTCCGGTTGCCCCACCCTGCTTGCCTTCCCCCAGCCCGGCTTCCTTGCTGTCTCTTCCACCCCGGGGTGGAATCAATACAGCGAGGGGGTGTCCCCTTGCCTCCACCCCCCCACCCTCCCAACCCCCGTGCCTGGAGCATCTCCGCCTTCTGGCCGCCCTGAGGCTTCCCGGCCTGCGCTTTGGTTTCTCCCCTGGACAAGGCGGCCTCCTGGCCCTGCCGCTTCCCGGACGACATCCTGCGGCTTCCTGTGATCAACGCCAGGGCCTCTCTTCAACCCCGTTGATGGTTGACCGGGGCTTCTCTCTGGCTTTCCCTGGCTCCTTCGGTTACCCAGCAGGCATTGGCACCAACGCCCACCCCCCAGTCCCTCGACCTTTCCTAAAGCCAGCATCTCCTCCCCCCCCCCCGTGTCAGGCTCTGATCTGGGCTGCCTGTGCGTGTGTGTGTGTGTGTCGGAGTGTAGACTGATCTCTCGCAAAAGGTCGGCCACTGTGTTGCTCTCCAGATGTGCTGGCCTAGAGACTTGGCTGGTCCTCCTCCTGTGGCTGGAGGCCCCAGCGCTTCCTGTGGCCCAGGGACTTGGTGTGGGCTCACAAAGGATCGGGCCCCCAGGGAGGAAGGAGTCCTAGGCAGATCCGCTCCCTGCCTCCTCGCCTGTAAGCCTCACCGGTTCTTCCCTGGAGGCAGAGGTAGCGCAAGCGTGAAAACAGCGTGAGCAAAATAAGCAGATCCCAAATTTATGTGCAGCTTTTATGGCGCCCCTGGAAAAAATGTTTCCGGGAAGTTTAT